CCGATCTATATATAGAGAGAGAGAGAGAGAGAGAGAAAGAGAGAGATTTTTATCTGTCTAATCCAAATATATTCATTCAAAATTCTCTGTCTTTCTCTTTCGATCTCTCCATTATCTTGATATTTCTATCTTTATGTACATACTTTTTATATAAATGTTAACTTTGTGACCGGTTTTCACTTACCTTATTTTCTAAGCTTCCTATATTAGTACGATTAGCGAGCACAGGAAAATCAACCATCGTACGCTCGGTAGCTGTTCCCTGAGTATCCCTGTAAAATCTGATTTGCGGGTACATCTTCGAGTCCGAATCAATGGCAGTAATACCGATCTGCCTATTGTTGATCAAAGAGCGCAGTAGATTGGTTGCTTCGCCAGGGAATCCATTGTTCAATTTATCACCATTTGTTCGCGTAATTTCCAAGCTTCTATTGCTGCATTAACAAAATGCAAATCGACGCGTGTAATTGTAACTTTAATATTCTACCGATTGCAAATATCTAATAGCTCATAATATTTATTATCAGTTTAATTTATGATTTGCGATCATAAATAGAAATCTTTATATAAAATAATTATCATGGCAATACCTGATCATAATTTTATCGCCAGATATAATAATATAACTCGCAATATAAGGCAATAATTGAATTAGACTTGAAATAAAATCGAAAAATTTTTAATAACAATGACAAATTTGTTACTTTAAAATAATAATAATAATAATAAAATCTACATCACTTTCAATAAGAAGTAAACTAAAGTGACTAAATTTGGCTAGTTTATTTAAAATATTAATTATCATTAATTTATCATTTCATACAAAATATGAGACTACAAAGCTGTAATCATGTATAAGGTTATAATATATTAAAAGTAGACTAGAATCTAATAATTGTTAAGAGTAACTAGAGTATAATAATGAATTAATATAATCAATGCTTCTGCTATTGACTATGAAGATCAATTGCACAATGTCTATCTCTATATATGTAAGCACCTTATACGGAATACATTTGTACACTTTAGCTACCGACCAGATATCGAGCGAGCGAAACACTTTCAAACAAGTAAATTTAGCTTACTTACTTGGCTAGAGCTTGCCACAGCTTCGTCGTTTCCTGATCAATGTTGGTGTCAGAGCAGTTGCTCTCTGGAGTGTCCATTCTATTAACTGGACTACAATTCGCTGTGTTGGACTCGGAATCATCGTAGTTACTTTCGACTCGAATCCTCTTACTGATGGTCATGTCGTAACCATTTTCCTCACCTTCGATCTCCTGCTCGTCGCGATCTTCAATCTCCAGTCGTTCAGGATCGGAACTGTTGGAACTGTTGTCATCATCTGGCTCACACTTAATATTATCATGTTCTCGTATATCACTGCTCTGCAATTCTAGATGATGCGTTTGAGTTTGAGGTATTATGTTTTGATTAATGCTGGCCGGCTCGGAGTTAGGCTCCTCGATGAACAACATTTTATTCAATTCGAGGACCGATTGCAGAGGGCTCTCGCCCGCTACTTTGGCAGTGGAGAAAGACTCTTTCTAAAAATCCAAAAGAAAAAAAGGCGTGCATATATTATCTATTTCTTGCTTTCTTTTCTCTAGATATAGGATTGCAATTTAACACATTTCAATTTAACACATTTAAAACGTGCGTAAAATGTCTCACTTAATCTCACAAACAATTTAAATCCAATATACCTGCTCGTCATGGGACGACTGTTGCTTGGTATAATCCAGGTACTGTTTGAGTAAGACGTCAGACTTTTGCGACACTTCGCGAAAATTGTCCAGCATGTTCAACTTATCTACGCATTCCCGGCAGATAATCAGCGGTAAGGAATCATCGTCTTTTACCTATCAAGAATTAATCATGTAACAAACTGACAAGAGTAACAAATTTGAAAGATATGTATTAAATGTATTTACACACATATAAACACACACAAGATTCAATTTTGTAACAAAACTCTTCTTATAGAGATAAAACTGATAGTATGCAAATTGCAAATTACTAGAAATATATAGTAAATATATAGTAATTTTATTTTTTAAATAAATATTTTAATATTTTTTAATAAATAAATTTGATTTAATCAATCATTAACTTTACACAAAAATGAAAAATTCATTTATGTAAAATGATATAAAATTCACTAATGTCTAATAATAAGAACTCTAATTATAAGTCTGATATAAACTTTCAATAAAAATTCTAATAAATCTAATATATAAGATCTTATTAACACGAATCTTAATGTAAGTCTTTAAAAAACATTAAATATTCTATCAAATAAAATATCGAATAGAAAATGCCTTCGGTATATCGTGTGCGTTTTTAGTTCTCGCTTATGTTCTTGCTTATATTAAGAATTGCGAATAGAAGGACGATCTATCTCTCGTGTATATAAGTTTTACGATAAAAACTCGAGCTCGCAAATAATGATCGAGATCGTGCCTCCCGATCGGCGTCGGCCGAATGGACGCCTTCGATAAATTAAAAGGAGCAGCGATATAAGGTGAGCAGCGCGCGGATAACGCGCGGCGTGACAACGGAATTCGCGTGTGAAACATGATAACAGGCCGTCCAAATAAGGAGCCGCAGCCTCTCTCCCCTCCCCGGCCCCCTCTATGACTCGCGCGGCCGTAGTTCCGCTTGCCACGCTTCTCGGCGCGGGGCTTATCACTGCCATTTTAAATGCCGTTGCTGCTCGTCGGCTTATCTCGCGGACACATCTCTTGCCAAACTTTCTCTCGTGGCACGCGCACATACACACATTCACGCGATCGCGGTGACGCGCGGTCGGCCGTGCGCGCGAGTGCGAGTGCGATCGCGTGCGCGAGAGCGCGCGCGCTAGAGAGAGAAGCGGCGAGTAGAAGCGCGACTACGAGTCTCGCGGTAGAGTGCGCGCGCGAGAGCGCCTCCGAAGCCGAGCGAGCGAGCGAGCGAGCGAAGGGAGAAGGAAAGGGAGCGAGAAAAAGAGAAGGCGATAGCACGGCGACGATGAGAACGACGCAGACGGAGAGACGCATACACGGCCGCGGCCGAAAGGTACCCCACAGATGGTCGCGTCCGATAAAATCGCGGATTTAATCGCGAGCCGCGACCCACTCACCGTGATTGACAGGAACGCCGATATCTTCTCGGCGAAATTCTGCTGGGTGCCCCCCTCCGCGAATATGGAATACTTGTCACCCTCCAGGGATAAACAAAGGCGACACAGCTCGTAGAACTTCTGCGGTACATCGAACATAATTGCGAGCTCCGGCTTGCCTGCGGCCCACGTAAAGCGCGAGTCATCAAGAGGTGTGCTCTAACACCAGCCGACGTGCGATCTTTCTCCACTGCCACTGCTCGCGTTCAGCGATGAGGATGGGTTTACACGGATCACTTATCACAGTCACCGCCGCGGCTCATTGTCAGCGGCACAGTACACGCACCGCCATGAATCGCGTGGCACAAAGAGAACAAATCTTATGGAACGCGTTCGCTAGAAGGGCTAGAGCATGGTGTAATAAAGATAGAGATGTGCTCGCTGAAATATAATAATACTGGAACGCGCACTGGCGCTAGTTTCGCGATCCGACAAAGAGCATGGAGGACTGGAGAGAGCATACCGATGGTGGGGGTAAGAAATTTGTAATCGGAAATGACATCACCAGTCAACCATCTAACGCACTGTTTAACCGCAAACGGCGCTATAGTAGAAACTTTTGATTGGCTTTTGATCGAGCATGGAACTATGGAAGACTATTTCACATATTAAGAGGTCACGTGACTCGTGAGGTTATAATTATATTGAGGCTATTATATTATATAAATATATTTCTATATATATAATTAAAAAATGGTTAGCTGTATTTTATGTGGTTTTTCCAAAGCAAAAAATTGTGGAGTTACTTTTCATATGTGAGTAAGATCGGAAGAGCACACGTCTGAACT